GAAGTAAAGTAAACCCAAGATTATTGACCTGTTGAAGAGAAGCTGAAGCAAGAAAGCAAGAAGAGTAAAAGTATGGTAGAAGCAGAAATTCTGGTAAGAAATTTAAACAAATCCATTGGGGTGGTAGCAGCTCTAGATTTTCTTGAGCTTTTTCTGGGTTTCTGTCTTCACACAATCTACTACTGAAGCGGGTGAAAGAGATGGACAAAGACTGAGGTGGCAGTCGAAGAAGCTAGAACTCTCAGGGGCTCACAAGCCAAGCTTGTCCATTGACTACAAAATCACAAAATCACAAAACCTGTGAATCAACAATCTCTGAGGAAAATAGAATAAGACAATTACATGCTCAGCAAGAACATGACTCGACAACATACAATAAAAATTGAACCATTGGCACCATCAACAGAAAGACACCTAAAAAGCTTCGCCAAATCAACATAATAAATGCCGTTGAGAATATGAATACTCATTGTGTATGTACAGACCTTTAGTTGGTCCAAATACGTTAAGCACGATGCTAACCACAACCAATGAAAGTTATTATTTATGTTCTGATTGTTCAAAGCCCCACAACTTTGGAGCTAAGTGGCTTCAAATGCCAATACAATTCCTAATTAATAAACGGTAGACAAAACGAAAAGTAGAAGTTAAGTCAACAGTAAACGGTGAAAGTTGGTAAGAATGTTGATACGATATACATATAGTTAGTGATCTACTTTTAAGAGACAGTAATGCTACTCATTTGTCCGGAGTTGACGTTTGACTGTGTTAGCAGCATAACTCCAAATTCTTACGTGAGTTTTTCCACTAAAAACGATACAGTATGNAGAGTATCTACAACAGTTAGGTGACAATCAATCTGATAGAAAAACAAAGTTTAAAACAACCACCAAGTTATTTAAGTACATCACCAAGCAAGTGTCAAAATGATATGAATACATGAGCTATAACACTGTTTTTTATTTTCTGTTAGTAACCGTTATTTTTTTCATCATGCAGTACTTATAATATTCTAAAATATTAGCATGAAAGAACCTAATACTATTGATGCAAGAAAATGCATTTGGATTATCAAATAATATTGAAGCAAGAAAAAGAATGCAAGATAGATGAACAAAATGAGACAGAGATGGAATAGACTATACATACCATAGAAACAGTAAAATCAAATAGATACAACATTGATCTATTTGTTGCACATCAGAAAACTTTTCCATTTTTTAGAACATACAAATTTAGCAAAGATTTGCAAGAAAATAAGTTAACCCTTGGTTATTGCATAGCAAAGGTGCAAAAAAATTTGTTTCAACAAGAATCATTAAATGAACAATAAGCACACAGGTAAAGATAAAAATACCTCTGTAACAACATTAGAGTAACTTCTAGGACTATGCAAAACCTCAAGCCAACTTGCCATGAATTATGTGAGCATAGTACAGAACAGAAGTTGTGGCCATCCTCTGGAACTATTTATGCAAAAGCTTTTTGAATGATTTCATCATATACTATACTGTAAGTTGAATGATCATCATCACTGTCTGTTGTAGGTGGTCGAATTAATAGTTTTACACAATTGGAACCTTTTGCTCTTGATAGCGCTACGTAGAGCTGACCGTGTGAAAAAACAGGTTCGCGTAAATAAACTCCCACGAAGTCCAACGTTTGACCTTGAGCTTTATTTATTGTCATAGCAAAACATAATCTCAAAGGAAATTGTGTTATTTTGAAAGGAATAGGCAATTTTTCATCTGCTGATGATAATAATGGTATTCTAGGAATAAATACATGTGTATTCTTAAAGTCCCCAGTGGCAATTTTAGCACTTATAACATGTTTTCGAAGATGTGACGACCCAAAGGGTAATCACCTATTTCCTCATCCATTCCGTGCTTTCGAGGCCTTAAAACCTCATTTTTTTAATTGCCTCGATTTGCGTGCGCAGTCCGGGCACGTAGCCGGAAAGCTTTTATGTTGAAATATGTGAATTCCGTGAAAAATTTGAAGAATTTAGATATTAATATGATTATAGTTGACTTTGGTCAACATTTTTGGTAAACGGATCCGGACCCGAGATTGGACGGTCCCGGAAGGTCCGTAGAAAAATATGGGACTCGGGCATGTGCCCGGAATCGAATTCCGAAGTCTAGAGCCCGAGATATGAATTTTTCCGTGAAATTGTTTTTCTGAAATTATTAAGGAAAATGGAAATAAAAATTGATTAAAAGACTATGGTATCGGGCTCGTTTTTTGGTTTCGACGCCCGGTACAAGTCTTAAATATGTGTTAAGCGCTTTCTGTAAAGTTTGGCCGAAATCGGACGTCGTTTGACGTGTTTCGGACTATGAGTTCAAAGCTTGAAAGGTTATGAAGTTTAGAAGGAAAATCATGTGCCTTGAGGTTTGATTCTATGTAAATGATGTTATTTTGGCGATTTGATCGCACGAGCAAGTCCGTAGGATGTTTTCGAGGTTGTGCGCATGTTTGGTTTGGAGCCCCGAGGGCTCGGGTGAGTTTTGGATAGGCATCGGATTGCATTTCTCATTTTTTGAAAATCTGGTATGCTGGCTTCTGTGGTTTTCGCAAATGCGAAAGGGAGACTCGCAATTGCGAGGTCTGGGAAATTACGCACAGGTCGCAAATGCGAGGATTTTGCTCGCAAATGCGAGAGGCCACTGATCGCAAATGCGATCGAATTTTTGCAAATGCGAAACTTGGCCTCCAGACCCAAGTTCGCAAATGCGAACTAAAATGTTCGCAATTCCCACGCCTGTTTTGTTCGCAAATGCGAACCTCTGTTCACATTTCCCATATCCGAGGCCCAGCAAATTTTATACTTAGTCGAATTTTCACCACTTTTCACCATTCTTTCAAAACCCAAACACCATAGGCGAATTTTCAAGAGCAAACTTCATCCCAAATCACTTGTAAGTTGATTTTTACTCAATTCTTTCAATCTTTAACATCATTAAACATGTTTTCCACTTGAAATAAAAGATTTTCATGGGTGAAATTGGGATTTTTGGGTAGAAACTAGGTTTTCTATAAATTGGGGAGTTGGACCTCGATTTGAGGTCCGATTTCAAAACAAATTATATATTTGAACTCGTGGGGGAATGGGTAGCCAGATTTTGGTTCGAACCTCGAGTTTTGACCACGTGAGCTCGGGGGCGATTTTGGAATTTTTGGAAAAAACTTGGGAAACTCATTTTTATGCATTCAAATTGATTCATATAATGTTTATTAAAGTAATTGAGCAATTTGTGATTAGATTCGAGGGAATTGGAGGTGGAACCACGAGGTAAAGCAATAGTTGAGGATTAAGTGGATTTCAAGGTTTCGAGGTAAGTGTTTGGTTTAACCCTAGCTTGAGGGAATAGGAGTTGAGTCTTGTTGCTAATTGCTATGTGATCGAGTACGATGTATAGGCACGGTGACGAGTATCTATACATTGGGTGATACATTACTTGGTTGTGAACTCCGTGTTATTGGAGGATTTCTTATAGTTGTGAATAACATGTGAACGGTAACATGATCATTGATTCTGGAGCATAGGTCGAATGTGATACGAATATTGAAATTATACGAAATGACTTGATTCCTTGGAGCGTTGGCTCAAAATAGTAGAGCGAATCATAAGATAAGAAAAGTAAGAAAGAGAAAGCGTTGTTGGTTGTCCCCTTGCCGGGATGTTTGTCAAATATTTACTTATTTTTATGCCCCTTAATTGTGTCTGTTGTTTGGGGAGTCGGACTGTTAAATGGTATTGAGGATCGGGTTGCATGCCGCAACAGTAAAAGGTGAGGATCGGTTGCGCGCCGCAACAATTATACATGATAAATGATATGGGTCGGGTTGCACGCCGCAACAGTGGTATTGTTGGGAGCGGGTTACAGCCGCAACAATAGTAGTTATGGAGCGGGTTGTACGCCGCAACAGTTATTGAGGCTATGTGTTTGTAATTGAGTATTGATTCTTTGTTATTTGTGAACCTAGCTGTTTAGTTGTACTCTGGGTTGCTGTTAATATTTGTTCTCCCACAGCATGTGTTTTTCCCCTCCCATGATGCTAGTTGTTTGTATTTTGTTTCCGTTGTATATTTATAACTGCACAGGTTTATGTGATGTCCAGTCTAGCCTCGTCACTACTTCGCCGGGGTTAGGCTAACGACACTTTACCAGTAATGGGGTCGGTTGTGCTGATGCTACACTTCTGTGCATTTTTGCACAGGTCCAGGTTTTGAGAGCAGCAGCAGCAGTAGTTCTGGGAGCAGACTTTCCTATTCACGAGACTGAGTAGCCTTCAGCGTCTCGCAGGGCCGGCTCTCTTTTATGTTTTCCTTTTGACTGTTGCCTCATGTTTTCGAGACAGACAGCTGTTATAATTCTTTTAGACCTTTGTATTTAGTTTATTCTTAGTGGTTCGTGAGTAATGTGACACCAAATTTGGGTAGAGGCTATTGTTGACTATTCCGCGTTTTGATTCAGACTTATAAATTAGACTTCCGCTATTATATTATTAAATTCCATATTTTCCTATTGATGCTATGGATGTTAACAGATTTAATTATTAATGAAAGGTAATAAGTTGGCTTGCCCTAGCTTACACCGAGTAGGCGCCATCACGATCCCGATGGTGGGAAATCCGGGTCGTGACAGACAGATCACAAGATATAAGTCGTGTACCGTTGCATAAACCTCACAGGGATTTAAATTTTCGTAACAACATAACAGGACAATTCTTTTTCAAGGTTAATTTATGGGGAGGTAAACCAGCAGGATGTAAAGTGTGCAAAAAATCTTCATATTGACTTTGATCGTTTGCTTCAATAGTCTCATCAAATGCAACGTATGTTTTAGGATCACCAGGAAATTGAGCTATGAGCAAATCATTTATTTCATCGACAAAGTCATTTTTGGTTGTCAGAATTACACGAGAAGTCATAGAAGATGCATCAGAAAAACATGTACGTAGATTTGTATAAGTAACTCTAAACAACATATCTAATGATTGATTTTCAGAAACGAAAGGGATAACAAAACATCAGGGATTTCAATTTTGTCATGGCTATTTGTTTTTTCTTGTCCATTTCCTATTCTCATCAAATATTCACAAAACGTAGGATCTGTTTTTGCACGCATATTCTCTGATAATTGTAGTTTTTCGAGTTGATTCCAAATTTCAGAATATAATAAGCTTTCTTGAATAAAATCTTCTTTTTTTCCACTCCTAACAACTGGGAGAGTTTGTCTAAAATCACCACCGAAAACGACCACTTTTTCTCCAAATAGAGCATTTGTATCCATTAAATCCTTCATCAGAATATCAAAAGTTTCTATCACTTTCTTTTTTGCCATAGATACTTCATCCCAGACAATTAGTTTTGCATCACGTATTAAAGTTGCAAGTGTGCTTTGCTTACTAATGTTGCAAGAATATTGTTCATCGATATCAATAGAAAATTTAAAACGGGAGTGAGCAGTTCGTCCTCATGGGAGGATCGAAGCTGCAACACCTGAACTTGCTGTTGCTAAAAGCGACAAAACCTTTTGATCGTACAGCAGCTAATAAAGCACGGTATAGAAAAGTTTTTCCAGTTCCTCCAGGTCCATCAATGAAAAATGCTCCTGATTTGTTAGAAAATATTCTATTAAGAATCGTGTCATACACTTTTCGTTGTTCGATATTTAATTTTCTCTCTAGAAGCAAATCTTCTTCTCTAACAATGATGTTTCTTTCAAAATGACAGTCATTGGTTTCTCTTACAGCAGCTGAAGGTTTAATTTTCTCAGGAATCAGATTATATTCATTAATATCATGTCCCATCAAATGCAAAATATCATTGATATGATTTAAAGCCTTAAAACGAATATCTTTAGCATTCATGTTAGGTAGAATCTTAAAATCTTCGGACATTGAATCTTCAAATTGTTTTCAAAGTTCTGTTGGATTAGCAGGATTACAGTACACTAATAATGTTGCAAACAAACGCCTTAAACTATATGGCATTTGATACTTTGTAGCTTCAGACATACATTCAACCAAGTTGTTATCATAGTGTAACAATCCTCTTTTTTCTGCGGCCTCTCTAAATGTACTACAACATTTGCGCCGTCAACTTTACATAAGTCCTGATATGATTTTGGTCCTCTAATGTTCATCAATAATAATCTAAGATAATATCTTTCTCCTTCTGTTGGATGACATGTTACAACACGTCCAATTACAGTACGTTGTTTTCGACGTGTCCACATTTTTTCCTTAGGTGACCATACAAAGTACTCAGGAAATTCTTTATATAATAATAACAGTTGCATAGCATTTTTATCTATTCTGTTCATAACAAAAAATTCAGTTAACATTGTTTTTCGAATCATTGGATTACTCAGTATTCTATCAACATTTTCAATACTTTTAAAAGAGACAAATTGTTGTCCTTCAAAATGTAATTGAAGGTGAAAAACACTTGGAGTCATTTCACTTATGGGAAAACCAAATAATCGCCATGCAGCTTCTGGAGGAGAAACCCATCTAGCAGATTGATATTCTTTTATTTCATCTATGTCTGTATCTATATCATTATCATGTATATGAAATGCAATTTTATCGTGTCCCTTGCAAATATATTTGTAAATATATTTCACTACTTTGATATCAGAACAAACTTCAACATTCATATGACAATTATACTTGCATAGCAAAAATGGATTATATGGAACACCCAAGAATTATCCAGAAACTCACCTCTTACCTTTTACAGCTTCTCGGTTCTTTTCCTTTGTATATTGGATATGAATTCTCCCCTTTTGATGTTTGTTTCAGCAAAATCTTTTGATACTTGAATTTGCAGTTATTATTTTTCATGCAAATATTTGTAGAGATTTAACTTTCCACAAGGACCATGCATCATATGTTTAATAACAAGTGAATATAGATCGTGATCTTTTTAGAATCAGGCAATTCTGCACAAACAAATTATTCATAGGATTCAGGAGTCAATAATTAGTACAATATTAGTGCTCATCAGCAAGTATAATAAATGAGCATGTGAAGACCACGTTTTTTGAAATTCTATAGTATACATGAATGCTGCAACTCTTTCAAAGATTTGTCTTTTTAATATATCCGTCTTTAATTCTTCTACCTTTGCTCTGAAAACTCGACTAACTAAATCAGGCCTGTTCTGTACTTCATCAACCAGTGATAAATGTTCTTTTATTTCTGGCCAAGCAGGATTACATGTCATTGTTATAAAGAAATCAAGTTTTCCAAAATATTGTACCAATGCGATAGCATCCATGTATCGCCGGCGCATGTCCCTTGGTCCCCCTATAAATGTAACAGGGAGGAATGTTTTCTTTCCAATTTTAGAGGCATCCCTTTCACCATATCTTAAAATATCAAGGAGTCCTTGCAAGACTTCAATTCTAAATAAATCTGGATTAAATGAGAAGAAGTCTAATCTTTGCGTTTCAAGCTTTATATATGCATCTACTATAAATTGTTGGAATATTCTCCCACAATGTAGCACTTCATTTGTTTCATTATCTCTTAGTTGAAATTTGTAACAATAATACTCTCGACAAGACACTGTATCTCTTTTTCGTTTTCCTTTTTGTAGTGATTCATCTTCCATATCAAGAAATCCATCAATTGAACACATATTTGATATACCGGGCAATTATTCATGTTCACAGTAAGCTCTACGTTTCGTCACATTTTTTGTCTGAACAATTTTTTTGATTCCACAATGCCATCCATTTTCACTGAAGGGAAATAATAATGGATACTGCAACGGATCATAACATTCATAATAATAATGTACTAACCGAGATCTATTACTGTGAGTATAAATTCGAATATGTGGTGCAGATGTGTCTCTAGGATTTTCTTCAAGCCATAATGCCGCGATCTCTGATGCACTGGGTAAGTTATATGTTCGTTGATCTAAGGTTGAGTGACATTTAAGAGCAATATAGAAATCAGATAATTGAGGAACATTTAAGAGAGATCTTAGGAAAATAGTATATGGATTTACCTTCAGTATGTCCATCAACTTTTTCACTATTGATTCATTAATTCTTGTCGAACAAGCCATCCTATTGGCTAGTTCATTATCATTATAGTAGAAGTACAACTGTAAATTCCTAGGTTTTTCATTGGAAGGAACTAAATCATCTATAAAATGATACATCTGTCCTTGGACTCTAAATGTGTAGATACCACAATTTCTTCTCGCTAGCTCTTTATCATACTTGACACCAAGTGAAGTAAATGCAAACATGTTATTGTACGTTCTAATATAAGTTCGGAAATTTTCAGATTCTTCAGTATTTCCAAAGTATAACTCCGATAATTCAGTTGGCATTTTATGAGATGTCAACCTTATTGAACCATTGTTACAGCAAAATCCTGGAGGTTCATATTCAAACTTCTTTGCATGACAAAATTGACAATTTGGGACCCTTTTTAGAGCAACATACTCACTTCGTTGCTCTTTAGTGACCAGGCACACCTTTTTGGCCCGCCTATGAGCTGAATATATAAGAAGTATCATTAGGAAAAAAGGAGCACCAAAGCATACGTATGGTGGACATTATTGTAACATTAAGTTTGTGCAAACCTTTGATTGGTACGGTGTTCAAGGTAACATGACGCAGGTTAGATGTACCCGATGTGGACCCTATTGTACAAATAGGAGAATTTACAGTAATGTATAAACAATATGTCATTTTGAAAAGAGTATAATCTGAATGTAGGTTTACCTGTTTCACGAATGATAGGGGGGTCCAATGTACCCTTTCCTTTGTCTAAATTAGGAGATGACGTAGTCATACATGCTTGATAGCTAGCAGCTGGTAAACAAAATAGCCAAAATGTTTAAAAGCGTACAACGAACCCTCAATAGATGCAAAATACTGTGTAAAAGAGCACGTAGTATTATGTTTTTTAGTTTATAGATACATATAAGATAAATAAGCTGTGATATTCAATCTCCAAGGAAAATAAGCATCGTTATATTAATAATATTCTCCGTATAAATATGAGTACAATAATATATAACCAAAAAGGCAGCGAAAAAGGTTCTCGTATAGTTACCTGTTTCACAAATGATAGGGGGATCCAATATACATTTGCCTTTTTCTAAATTATCCTGTGATGTAGCCATGCAAGCTTGATGGCTGACAACTGGTAAACAGAATAGCAAAGACGCTTAAAAGCATATAGTGAAGCCTCTGTAGGTGCAAAATAGACTGCAATAGACCACATAGTATTTGAGTATTTTAGTTTATAGGCACATATAAGATAAATAAAGTATCATACTTAGTTTCCAAGCGAAATACATAAGCACTATTGCGTTAATAATATATGGTGTGTAAATATGAGTACAACAATATAACCTTTTTCAGGAAGTGAAGGAGGTTCTCGTATGGTAAGACCAGTTTGTTTTAGAAATCCTGCTTTGTCCCAAGATGATGTTGACTGCTCTGGGACAGCGAAAATCGAGTGTTGAAGAAGGCTGTGCTTAGTAGAATCTTGTCTTCTGATACGTCGCGATAGCAACATCACTTCCCTTCTATGAGCAGATATTTGGCTTTGCGTATCACGCCGTTTGAGTTGCATTGTAGCCTTTCTTTTTTCCGCGTAAGAGCACTTGTTTGCTTCTTTGGAATCCATCAGCTATACAAGTTCAACTTCTTTTTATCTGTAAAATATTTTCAGCCCAAATTTTTCATGAAATATTCAAGCCTAAAAATGTGTCACTGCCTACCGCTTATCCAAAATCAAAATTACCGCCAATGATAAGACTGATTCAATCAAGAATTTTCTGAAGCACATGACATATTAAACTTTCTGTGCACAAAGGCTTAGCATGGCATAAAAGATACAACAGAGAAACAGAAGATGACAAGAAAGCTCACAACAAATTAGCACACCTAGCATAAAAAATTGTTCCCAATTTATTCTTTTCTTTCTTTCTTCTTCTTTAACACATCAACATTCATTTAGTTGTTTGTCATCCAAAAATAATATAATTTCTTTAGCATACATGTGAGAGTAGCAAAAAATCTACATGTATATCTGGGGAGAGCACCAAAGGGCACGTATATAGCTAATGAGAAATGACTCAAATTCCTTCAAGCTTCTTTAAAAAGATTCCAAGCAGACATGTCGAAAGTCTTGCTCTTCTAAAGAAGAGAAAAGAAAAGCCTCCTTTCCCTGATATTTCTATAAACTTTAGATTTGGTAATTCTTTTGAGTTTTGAGCAGCTAATAGTTAATCACGGAATTCTTTAAAGGATAAACCAATGATCAATAAGTACATTTCTGTAATGTTACAGGCTCAATTGTGTTAATGGCAAATGTTACTTTTTTGAAAAAAGCTACTGAAAATCAAAGGCAATTCAGTTTTTGTCAATTAACAAACCACATATGATAGTCTGTTTTTATTGAATTGCGTGAAGCTCAGTTTATAATTGGTTAATTAGCTGGAATACGGTAGGGCAATGTTAGAAAAGAGAGCTCTTGTTAGGTGTAGTTAAACCTAAAACAATAAGAGAAATCTTGAAAAAGACCTAATTCATTCAGGAATTACCTCGAACACCTGAAGAACAAATGTTATAGACACTTTAAAACTTTCTGTGCAATAAAGCCTTCACATTCCATGAAAGATTAAATAGAGAAACAGAAGATAAGAAGAAGAAAACTCACAAAAAATAATGACCCAAAGAGAAAAATTGGCGATAAGATCAGCAACTGGGAGGAGCAAAAAGGTGGAACTGGGAAACTGCAATTTCCAGACGTTGGAGCTCTTAAACTATTGCTAGATTGGTTTTTGATACAGAGAACCTGCATCTGCCAATTTTTTCAAGAGCTGTCTGCCTGGTACCGATAAGAACAAGAGAGTAAGAAGACAGAAGCAAAAGAAGCGGTGATTGCCAGGTTTTCTGAAGTGATCGATATAATCCAAGCGAAGGTAACCGATAAGAACAAGAAGAGCAAGAAGACAGAAGCCAAAGAAACGGTGGTTGCCAGGTTTTCTGAAGTGGTCGATATAATCCAAGCGAAGCTAATAAAAATTAGATGGAAAGACAATATTACCTCTGAAGTGTGAGGCAGGCATGTCGTCCAGGTGTCTGCTAACTCTCCCTTATTAGATAGGAGAATATTTTGGGATAAAATTTAAACTGTCATGTATTACCGTTTATATTGCCTACTATGACTTCTCTTTATCTAAGTTTAGGATTCTTTAGGCTTTTTTGTTTAGAATTAGAATTTTTTTTGGCGACGTGTGACTTTCTTTTAGGTTTAGGCTTCTTTAGGTTTGACTTCTTTGGAATATTTCATCTTATTTTTAGTTCCCTATCGACATGAGTTCAAGGCGCAAAACAAATTTAACTTTTCGAGATATCTAATGTTCTATGGATACTGTTGTTTTTGTTCTACCTTTTCCTTTATCGATATTTGTTATTTTTGTAAAGTTATTAGACTGCTCAACTTCTTCAAATAATATACATTTAAACAATTTATATAAGCCATTATTGGTCAGTTCTTCAATATTCTTGTGCAGAAAGAAGACTCGCTGTCACGACCCTAAACCCAGACCCGATTGTGATGGCGCCTCTCATGAAGACAAGGCCAGCCGATACATTTCCAATTCGAAGTTAAACAACTAAACAACAATAAAACAAGCTAAAACATGATTTAGTAATACTAAGTAGCAGATAATATCATAACAATGCGGAAGTACAACCCAAACACAGCCCAAACCGGGGTGTCACTAGTCATGAGCATCTACTAAGGTCTAAATACAACTGACAAAGTCTGAAATGTACTAAGTACAGACTAATAGAATAAAGAGGGAGAAAAGCAGTGCTGCGAACGCCGGCAGCTACCTTGCTAAACTCCGATGACTCTGCCTCCGATCAACCAATACCCGCTACCGGGTTCAGAAAATACCTGAATCTGCTCACAAGGTGCAGGGAGTAAAGTGAGTACTCCGACTCAGTGAGTAATAATCATAAATAAAGACTGAGTGATAAAAAATCATGAAAGTGCATCAACATGCTGTATAGAAATAGTACAAAACCAGTAAGAAAGCAATGAAGCTGTGAAATCTCTTATAGCATCTTAGCTCAGTTTAAAACTTCTTCAAAAATGGCTTTTCAACAGTTAAGCAATTGAATGCAAAACAACTAGAACAGATAAACATAGAGAATCCGCCCCTCGGGCACAGTTACACAACTAAACAGGTAAATGACAGGTAAATGATAGGTAAATGAACAAATAAACACATAAAGGTTCGCCCCTCGGGCTATAACTCAACAACTCCGCCTCTCGGGCAATATCTCAGATCAATACCAGCCCCTCGGGCAATCACATAAAACAATACCAGCCCCTGGGGTTATATCTCACATCACAATAGGTACCCGCGCTCACGGCCCCTTACGGCCCAAGCGCAATATCAAGCCATCTCGTGGCATCATAAACAGGCTCTCGGCCTCATATCAATATCAAGCCACCTCGTGGCGTACAATCTCAGGCCCTCGGCCTCATAATCAAAATCAGTGTATCACCGCTGCAGTGTGCAGCCCGACCAAAAAGATATCCTCACAACACAGGCCCTCGGCCTTACTCAGTCAAAATCACATAAGCCTCTCGGGCAACAGTAAAACAGTGTTTCTCAGCCCAAAATATCATTTAAATATCATTTGAGTATTAAAATTGAGTGAACATGGCTGAGTTTTGAAAACAGTGGAAATAACATGACTGAGTTCAAGTTTAAAGTCGAAACAGTAAGGAAATATCAACAAAAATCCTCGAAGGGTTCAAATAATTGGCCCGAAGCCCAAATATGGCATTCAGCCCAAATAATAATGATAGCAAATAGATTTCAGTCAAATACGCGGAAAAATCATCAATCGGGACGGACCAAGTCACAATCCCCAATAGTGCACGACCCCACGCTTATCATCAAGTGTGTGCCTCACCTCAATATAGCACTACGATTTGCAATTCGAGATTTCAAACCCTCAGAACATCATTACAATCATTACTCACCTCGAACCGGTCAAATCTCTAGCTCACGACGCCTTTGCCCCTCGAATCGGCCTCCACTCGCGTCGAATCTATCCACAATCAGAACGAGGACGTCAAAATAGGCCAAAGGAACGAAGCCCAAGCGAAAATAATCAACAATTAGCACGAATCCCGAAATTACCGAAACCCGACCCCCGGGCCCACATCTCGGAATCCGATAAAATTAACATCAATGGAATCCTCATCCTCTCACGAGTTCATACATATCAAATTTACCAAAATCCAACCTCATATGGTCACTCAAATCGTAAAATTCACTCTCTAACTTCAAGCCCTAAATTCCCAACTCTTCCTCTAATTTCCCACAAATTTTAATGATTAAACAATGATATAATCACCATAAACACAAGGTATAAAGCCCAAGTAGCTTACCTCTGTGGATACACTTGATCCCCTCTTGAAATCACAGCTTGGAGCTCCAAAATCGCACAAAAGTAGTGAACAAAAGACTGAAAATCGCGAAGGGGCATTTTTATACATTCTGCCCAGCACTTCCGCATCTGCGGCACAATACCCGCTTCTGCGGTACCGCATATGCGGTCTTACCTCCGCTTCTGCTGTAATCACTTACCAGCCAAAATTCCGCATCTGCGGTCACCCTTCCGCATCTACGACTCCGCAGATGCGGCCCACATAGCCGCTTCTGCGGTTCCTGCCACTCAACCTGTTTTTTCGCTTCTGCGACCAATCAACCGCAATGCGGCGCCGCACCTGCGGTCCCCAATCCGCAGGTGCGAAAATACCAGAAGCAGCAAATTCAGCAGTTGCAACAAAATCCAAACTTCTCCGTTAACCATCCGAAATCACCCCGAGGCCCCCGGGACCTCGACCAAAAGCACAAATATATTCTAATACCTTATTCAAACTTGTTCCAATCATCAAAACACCTCAAACAACATCAAATCACCCAAAACACATCGGATTCAAGCCAAACTTTCTAAAATCTTTCGAGTTCCGCTTTTGATCAAAAACCCAACCAAACCACGCCCGAATAATCTGAAATTTTGCACACACATCCCAAATGACACACCGAAGCTACTACCACTCTCGGAATTCCATTCCGACCCTTATATCAAAATCTCGCCTACCAACCGGAAATCGCTAAAATCTCAATTTCGCCAATTCAAGCCTAAAGCTTCCACGGAC